TACTCAGATAAAATATTTGTTGCACATGAATGCATCTGAACGCATGGTGGCAATAGTGTCTGGATGCGCGTTTTGTGTTCTGACCGAATTTAGACACTATTTAAAGTTGTTTTTAATTGCATTTAGACGCAGTTCTGTTTCAAGTTGTGTTTGAAAGCAACTCTACCATTGTGTCTGAGCTACATCTAGATTCTTTTGTTTCTTCTATTTCTTATCTGTTTGTATCCATAATAGGTTTAGATAGAAACTATCTTTGAACTTCATGTTTGAGTTAAAGGGCTCATTTTTGCTTAACATTTAAATATGATTTATTTTGAAATTTAAAGTGTTACGTTTAACGTATGTACTATACAAGAGCAAAATTGATTTCGTGAAAAAAAGTGCTGTTGGTGACATATAAGAAAATAATATTGTTTAAATAATGTTTTCGAATGAATTTTCTGTACATTTCAAAACTTGATACGTATTCTCATTTATTTCTACTTGACAGATTAATTAAGTCTTCATGAATTTGTATGACGGATACAAACATGATGAGATTTCTGGGATGCAACTATTTGTTCTTATCGTCTATGTTTCATGCAACGCTAGTCACTGATATTTTAACTTGCAGATTATCAAGAATAGTCATTTTAAGAATTCGAAATGCAGTCAGACTTTAATACGTCGTCTAAATCAGTTATTATATAATTTTCATACTTTTTTGAATGAAAAATGCGTAGTTCAGTTTACTGTTGTAGATCTAGTCACGTATACTTTGACAAAGTAGTCTGCATTATTGATAGCACCAAATACGCTTGCAACTAGAAACATGTTCAAATGCATCTTATCTATGCAAAACAGAAAAAAACTGCGTTTACACGCGTTACTGGAACTCAAAAGCATCAGCTGCATATAAAGTAAGCGCATTCGGATGCAGAAACATAACCAGTCGCATCGAAACGCGTCTAAACGCATGCAAGAATTTGCAACGTATTTTAGTGCGTTTGGAGGCTGTTTCAATCCCAGATGCATTTAAACACGTCAAAAATGCGTTTTATAGTTACACGGGATTTTCCATGATTTAATTAAGTATCTATCATATAGTTACAGTTAATTTTTTAGCTGAACAATATTTATAGCTACATTTTTTAATAAATATTTTCAAAATTGTGCAAATTCTTAAGAACAAAACCTTTTTACTTCACTGATGTTTTTCCGTTTTTCACGCAGATCAATGTTTCTGGTTTTCAAAATCGTGAGTATCAAACAGGAATCCGCCAGAAAACTTTGGAAAATGATAAGAACTTGAAAGTAGCATTTCTGTGATCAGACCCGGTGACCAGATTCTTCTAGTTCTGACCGAAAACGACTGTAACTAAGCAGAACCGGTCGCTGAATCTAGTTATCGGTTTTCTGCCTCTCAACTTTCAACCATTTTCCGGAGTTCAACGGCAGGAAACAGTCGATATTTCTTGACCGGGGAATTGAAAGTTGTGGAAGCGTGACTGAATGTGGGAGTGTGAATGTAGGTGCTGGTGTACGCGTGGTAGTAGAGGCTAGAGATGGGATCGGTTCTTGCCTTTTGGAAGCGAAGCAAAACATTCTATCTTTTAAAATCTGTGAATTGAACTGAGTCAGAACTGAGAGGCAAATGAACATGTCTTGAGATCGAATTTGGATGAAATCGATTTACGATTTTTTTGGAACCGAACCGACTTAGTTTTTTAAAAACTTCGAACTACACACAAAACTATCATTTTTCTGACGCTTATGTGAAGATGTTAATAAACGGAGATACCTTGTAAGTCACAAATTTTGACACAAATCAAGTTTATTTTTTATAGATTCAATTCTTTTTTTTTGTATGATTATTATAATGAACAACTTGATTATTATCTAATAGACTCTTTATTTTTGAAGCATAATTTTTACTGCTCTTTTTTCGCTTGTAACTTTTATTTGAATAATATGTTTTCATGATATCATTTTAAATGAATTGTTTTAAAACTTTTTAGTTGTTGTAGAATAACTTCGGCACGACATATGTGATGTCCAGAAAGTCACAAAGCAGGCACTAAAAATTGAATATCTTCACAGCACTCTAACCAAATGAGCTGATTTTTGTTTTTGAGAACAGAGAATAGTTGCAGGTTTTTATTCGTATATAGACAGAGTATTCTTTGTCATATCCCGTAGCTTTTTCATTTCTGTCAATACCAAGAAAAACACAAAAGCCTTTTCCAAATAATAAAAAAACATCCTTGTTCAGAACAGAATCGAATAAACCAGTGAACAAGGCACTAGCGACATGTGTTGTCAAGCTGGCCGTTCTGTTGAGCAACGACATCGTATTTGCTTAGACAATGAAAAGAATAATTTCTTTTAAACTAGTTTTGATGCATTATATATGACATATACCAGTTATTTAACGATGTGCAGTGCACGGGTTCAGTGGTATTGTTCTCATATGAATGAATAAGCTGTTTATATATGAATAAAAACCTGTGATTGCCCTCTATTTTCAGGAAAAAAAATCAGCTCCTTTGGTGGGAGTGTGTTAGTGATATTCAATTTTTAGCGTCTGTTTAGAGACTTTCTAGACATCCTGTATACGTAGATAATGTTGATTTTTTTTTTGACAAGGTATAAGTGTACTTAAAATAAGGAGATTATATGTTTGAGAATTTATCACAATAAAAAATAGCGATATACATGTCGTTAATAAACAACATTTCGAATAGGGCATAATAAATAGTCTTTGAAGATGTATTTGCGAATATATATTATCTTTCTTTATTTCAAGTACATTTACCTTGACAAAGAAATCAACGTTATCTATGTATATATATGGATATGTAATAGTTCTCTCTTGTTGTTATTGTTTCTTGATGATGGTGAAAGTACACATCGAAAACTCAAAATAAAAATAAATAGCTTTCGATTTTGTGGCAGTACTTTACTCTACTATACATTTATGAATTTCTATTGCTCTTTCTGATAGTTTTATGGCTTGACAACTATTTGCTATGTTATTTGTGAGAAATATTTTTGTTTTCAATATGATAACATTTACAGAGAATAACATCAAATCGCCTATCCATTCGAAGGCAAGCACTCAAAATACAATAAAAAAACTAATTGAATCTGTCATCTAACAGTTGAAAACAGTTAAACAATTCAGGCAAGCAAAAACTCAGCTTTTATCCACTTGACTATACATATTATTCAAATTCCTTATAATACTAATGTATGTTAATATTCATTCTGAGATAAGACTGAAATTATAAAATTTTGAAGTTTTAATGACAAAAGATATATATTCATTCATATATGTAAGCCATGAAATTGCTCGAATTTATTTTATTGTTTGTAATAAAACGAAAAGATAAGCACAAGAAAAAAAGAAACAAATGAATAAGATTAAATAAAACGGCAAAACACAAAGCAAAAGCAATTCCATTGAAAAGAAAAACTCTTGGAGCAAATTAATCATCCTACATATCTTTTAATCACCTCAACAATTTGTGTCGACCCTCACACATTAGATTAAACAAGTTAAAAGAAAATCGTCGATTTGAAAAAAAGAGAAGAAATCCATCCGTGGTTCGTCAATCTTCATGTTTTTCTTCTTCTTTTTATTGTATCTCGTCGATTTCTTCATTATTGTTATGTCTTCATATGTTGATACTGAGCATGAGAGAATGAAACAATTGAATGAAATGAAAAAAAAATGAGGTTTAATGGGTTAACAAGAAAAAAAGCCAAAAACCAAAGAATAAAAAGATAAAATATTTTTGTGCTTCATCTATCGTTTTGATATTTCAATAATTGTATCCTGTTGTATTTCAGTTTGTGCTCGACATCGTTGTCGAAAATCATGTGCAAATCTTCGAAGTTTTTCAGTTAAAAATATTGCACTTTCACGACGGTTTGTTGCTCCACTTGCTAGTGAAAGCCATTTATGGTCAATACATGCCGGAATAGTTAATCGATTTCTAAATAATAATAGAAAAGAAAAACAAAAAGTTGCTAGTACAGTCTTTGTAGGATTAGTATATGAAACACGATGTAGTTACTGTTATTAATCACAAGGAGATCGTTTTATTCTATCTATTTTGAGACAT